ACGAGAGAATTTTTTCTTTTAGAACTTTAATTAATTGTTTTGCTATCTTAGAAATTATAAGAATTGGGCAAATTTTATAGGTTCCTCAGTATTTCTAAAGTAAGGATTACAATATGTACTTCTTACTATGTTTGTGTTCTTAGATTATGTAGACTTCACATGCCATGTCAGACAGAAAATGGGGGCTTACTGGACATTCTTTTCTATCACTCGTGTGTGTGTGTGTGTGTGTGTGTGTGTGGTGCTATAATTGCTTCTAGTTCAGAAACAGGTTCAATTTTTTTTTCATTTTCCATCCCCCATGTCAGTTAACCTCAGAACTGCCTCAAGAAACTGCCTTTTGTGTGTGTGTGTGTGCCACATCTGCAGGCTCGGCTGCAGAGCTGGACCACAATGCACGATGGCTTAAGAGCTAATAGTGTTATTATCTAATTCAATAGTAGTTAGGGGCAATAATTATAATTTAAGATAACATTTTGCAAAGGGAGAGACACAAAGGGTTAAAGACATCTTTTGAACTGAGGATGAAGGATAAATGCATTCTAAAGTTATAAACATTTGTTTTTCCTTAGTTGATTTGTAATGGGAGTCTGAAATTCAAGCAGTTTAATGGACAACTGTCCTGCTGAATGCTTCCATTTGACAGCCAGGCAAAATAAATACAAGTAGGTTTTTGTGTGACTTTGAGCTTCAACACGCATCTTTCAATAAAAAAAAGAGTGCCCTAAGTTGTATGAACAGGTTTAGGCTATGGATTCAAAAAATGCTACTCGTTAGCACCACTTCTTTCCTCTCTCACACCCACCTTTTCCAGAAATAAATTAATGCAAACTTAAAATCCATGAAGGTTGGTAGAGCTAGAGAATAACTGAGAGCTTTGAGATTGCTGCTATTTACATCAGCCCAGAGGCCTATTTTTCCTGACCTCAAGAGAACATTCTTGCATCCTTTGGCCTCACTGGCATCTCACCCTTGGGGATTTTTAATGATTTGTCTACTCTGTTGACATATCTGAACAGTGTTGGCACTAATATTTGCAAAGGAGCTTTAATCTCTTGATGGTGATGAAATGCTGTCATCCTCAAAGTGTCTGTCACAAAGTGCTCAGAACAATACAACAAAGGAGTCAGGCATCAGCGTGAGGCTGCCTTGTGAGATTCTCTTTGTGTTTCTCCGATGTTTTCATCTTGTTTGCATGCAACAGAGTAGGAGTTTATTTGCTTGTTAGAATTTGAAAGGCAATTCAGATCACAAATATGTATGCGTACAAGTATGCGTAATATGTATTTCAGTCCCTTACAAACATAATAAACTCTAAATCAACTCTATTAGAACTTTGTCTTTCTTAGAGATCATGGAATTCTAAAATTCATCCTGCTGATATTATTTTTTTAATGAAACAACTGTGTTTCCAAGGGATTTATTTGTTGATTGATATGAAAGTCATAGTTATAAAAAGGGAAAGAGAGAGGGAAAGAGAAAGAAATCCTTCTGTGTGAAGTACATTTATGGTACACACATGGTTTGCTGGGTCAAGCAAAATCTAGGAGCCAGGAGCCAGGCAATTTTACCAGGTCTCCTAACTGGTAGGGCCTCAAGCCTTTCATCACTTCTGCTGTTTTTCCCAGGCCACCAGCAGGGAGCTGGATCAGAAGTGGAGCAGCTAGGACACAATCTGACAAGCAAACAGAATGCCAGCACTGCAGGCACTGGTTTTACTTGTTATGCTACGAAGCCAGCCCTCAAATACCTGCTTTTTAAAAACTCAACCATTTTTATGAATTACATGTAGCGTTTTTGTTTTGCAGTGTTAGAGTTGGTCATTTAATTGATTGCTACCATTTTCACTAAAGTCTGCTAATATGTTGAAAAGTTCTTTGTAGAACCAAAATAAGGCACATCTCTACAGATATTTTGCTTGTGCTATAACTATCAGGGATACATGCCACCTTACTTTCGCAAGTCTTTTTCTTCTTTTTAAATACACCTACAATGTAGGTGTTTTTATAACACCTTTAAAATAAAGAATTAAATCAACGTGGCAGAAAATCATCAATGCCACCATAGTTGATTTAGTTTTTCACTCATTCGTTCAACACATTATTCAATTACACTAAAATGTAGTAAGGATGGTAAAAGAATGTCTCATTCATAAGTCTACAATAAGGCAAATGGCTCATTTGGAATACATACTTATGCAAATACAAATGTTCCCAGCTTTATACAGGCACACTATAGAAACTACAACTTTTCTGCCAAAATTTACTGAGGGAAGGGGAGAGAGCTTCTAAACTGAGATCAAGAGCTGTGCGATGGTGAAGATTACACTTACATCAGTGGCAGAGGCCGACAGAAACAGACTCCAGGAAAAGAGGATATTTCTAACATGAGCAATGATATAACGTGAAGGGGAAAAAAACACTTTCGGGCACTGCTAAGCAATTCAGTTTTACATACAAAACTTGGTTGATTTGATGAAAGTAAAAATATCAGTTCAATATATAAGTGAAAGTTTAGAGAACTAGATTTAAAAATTCATGTCTTGTTTGTATATTGGAAAGAATTTGGAAAGCTTTTAGATCCTTCCTTAAAATATCATCTTGGTTGCCTTGTGTGAAATTGATCATGGGGAGGACAATGAAGGTGAGATGGGAGATTGTGACAGTTGAACTGAATGAGAAGTCCTATGTCAAGGTGGAGTGAACAAGAGTAAGCAAAATGTCTAAATATATCGCACTGTGCAAGCTTACTAACAAAATCCTACATGATGTAAGATTAAATGTGACCCTGAGATTGCTTGAAGTTAAGTCCCCACTACCACACTGCTATCTGGGACTACCTCATTGCAAGTTGTAATTCCACGCAGGGCAGTTTCCTCATCTGTAAGGTGTGGCTGCTCACAACGGTAGCTATATGTTGCGCTCCTGTATTGATGAGTTCAGAGTGTAAAATGGTTTAGACATTTTCCTGACATGTAGTAAAACAAATAATGAGTTTATTGCTGTCTTACTTCATTTGTTTAATCTTAATAAGGCTACTTTTTAAAAAATAATAAAATCATTTTGTTTTTGATGATGCTTATAGTTGAAAGGGATTCATACTAATGTGGATCACTGATTAGGGTGGGGAGGGTCTAAGAGTGGGGGGACATGAATAACTGCCTCCAGTCTCCATTTCCCCCCTGTATCTGGGAAAAGTGGGGAGTGAAGGTGAGAAAATCATTCCAAGCAGCCCAACTACATTAGTACCCAGGAATGGGAGACCACCACCTGATACCATCCCAGGGTCCCCGTGTGGAGCACGGTACAAGGGTATTTAAGTGGCTTTGCTAGTTCTGATATGCTGTTGATTTTGTTGCTCCAACATTGAGGAAAGCTTTCCAATTTCCATTGGCTGACATAGTTCACTTTATTCGGTTTGCCCAGATATTCACTGTCAAAGTTTGGCCAGGAAAACTGTGCCTTTTGTTCTGCCCTGCATGGTACTAGACATTCTCTGCAGGCTTCAGTGATCTGGCTGTCATGTCCCTCATGAGCTTCTGAGCTTGCTTCCCACCACACAGGCCTCAGCAACTGTGGAGACCCACTTCAAACTCATGCGCTCCATGGTGAACCCACAGGTCTTGTGATTTTCACCATGTTTGAAGTTCTGAGTCCAGTGATCCAGTGGGGGGCTCCCCAAAGAAACCTTGCCAGAGGTGACCCCAACCTGACTCCTTTGTGTGATTGCCAGTGTGTGATGCAGCTCAGTCCATCACCCACATAGCCTATGCACACAGTGGTGGCTGCAGTCACCTGTCAGTTTTCTCCCCAGCTGCATCTCATATGCAAACCAGTGGTTGCTGTGACCCAGCCAAACTCCGCCCACTACACACTTGGCCCTCATGCACACTAGCTGGAATTGCAGCCTAGTTGGAGTGACCCTTCCCCCCAGGCCCACCCAGCCTTGGTTCCTGTGCATGCCAATATGTGCAGCAGACTGGTCCAGTCTGTCCCACATTCCATTCAGCTCTAGAACACATCATGGGCAGTGGAGCCTAGCTCAACCCAATGTACCACACTATCCAGCCCACACTCATGCAGGCCGTGCCACTGTCTGTTTAGCCAGGCCCACGCCCAGTCCTGCATCTCACGCTCACAAGTGGGAGCTGCAGCCCGTCAGAGAGGTGCCCACAATTTCCTGACTAGGCCCACTCCTAGCCCTGAATCTTACACTTTCCAGGTGGTTTTATATTCTAGCTTGATTAAACTTGATAAGGCTCAATTTATATAAAAAGAGAGAAAGCAGCTTTCTGTATTATGATATGCAAAATACTTTGTGATATCCCGTCTAAATGCACAGAACACATGGGAAAATGATAGCTCAAATGCTTGCAGATATTTTCCTGTACTGATGTGCTTCTGTATAACCATTGGCACAAGCACAATTTATCTGAGATGTGATTCTCATTGTCATTGTATACACTAATTAACCAGAACCAGTGGAATTATGGTGTGATTTATCTGAGGTCACACCTTGGGGATGTAGACATACGGCTGGAGATACTCCTGAGCAAAAGTCTCACATGTACTCTCCTGACTTTCAGCCCTTCACTTCAGAGCTTCAAAATTGTCAAGTAATTAGTATAAAGAAACCTGGGATCACTCCAAAGTCTATCATTCAAGTCTTATTATACAAACAATAATTGTTGAGTAATAAGGAAGAGAGGCGAGGCTTCTTTGACCCCTGTACATGGCTCTACAGGATGAGTCATTTAAAATGCAGGATTTTGTTTCCTTCCTTGTGTTGAAAAAACACTACACACACACACACAAAGAGGTAAAGCACACACAACCACAATATGTTCCTATCTATCTGTATAAATGTAAAAACGGTTAAGGGCTAATACCATCTATTTTTGCTGCCTCTCTGTTTTTTGACAGGGACATACTTTATGTTGATGGCTGATCCACAGCCCTTTCCAAGGCCACTGTGTACACACACACACACAAGGGGGAGCTTTACTTCTGGGTCTCCTCCTCCTTGGACATCTCCTTCTTGGCCTGCAGGTGCTCTTCCTGGCACTTGCCGGCTTCCTTGGTCTTAAACCCGCGGGCCTCGGCCTGGTCAGCCAGGAGCTTCTGGCCGGCCTTGTCGGCCTTTAGCTTGTGGATGTGCTCCATGAGGATCCGCTTATTATTTTTTTTAAAGATTTATTTGTTTTTATAGGAAAGTCAGATATACATAGAGGAGGAGACACAGAGAGGAAGATCTTCCATCCGATCATTTACTCCCCAAGTGAGCGCAACGGCCGGTGCTGCGCTGATCTGAAGCCAGGAGCCAGGAACTTCTTCCAGGTCTCCCTCGTGGGTGCAGGGTCCCAAGGCCTTGGGCTGTCCTCAACTGCTTTCCCGGGCCACAGGCAGGGAGCTGGTTGGGAACTGGCACTGCCGGGATTAGAACTGGCACCCGTATGGGATCCCAGGCGTTCAGGGAGAGGACTTTAACTGCTAGGGCATGCCGCCGGACCCAGGATCCGTTATTTTTGAACATGTTTCCCTTCACCTTCAGGTACAGGCTGTGATACCTGTGGGGGTCAATCTTCTGGGACTCCCGGTATCTCCTGAGCAGGCGGCGCAGGATCCGCATCCCCCTCGTCCAGGTCACCTTCTCTGGCATGCAAGCGTTGGCTGTACCCTTGCGCTTCTCTATGCCCATGTGCCTGCCTTTCCGGTGGGCCAGAGTGTTCATCCGGCACCGAGCCCAGGAGTGGACGGTCACTGGTGTGCAGATAATCAGCCCATCCTTAATCAGCTTCCGGATCTGCTGGCGGCAGTTGGCATTAGCCATCTCGGTGGCCTCATGTGGGTCCAACCAGACCTTCTTGCTGCAGCGGAGGATGCTGAAGGCGAGCCTCTTGTGCAGCCTGAGCATACTCATGGCTGCGGCCGAGGAGGCGAAAGGAAAGCTGCTGCCTCTTTATGCTTTTAAAACTAACTCCTCAAAAAAAAAAAAAAAAAAAAAAACTAACTCCTCTACTGCCCTCAATGCACATACTCAGGCATGTTATCTTTGCAGTAGATTTTGCTTTTTAAAATAAACTCAGAGTAGTGAAAATGGAAGCTTTCCAGATACAGCAATTATCTCATAAGACAATTTAAACTGTAGCGTAATTTTTTGGGGTAAGGAAAACAACGACAAGCATTGTTTTCCTTGTGGTCTTACAATCCAGGGCCAAAAAGTGTTATCTGGGACTTCATTGCTATTCAGTCATGTAGATGGCCTGTAGCAAATTGGAAAGGGTAAAACATTCAACCATGTCAGATTCCAGAGGCCTGTACAGACATAATTCCAAAGTCTGGAAACCTTTCCACTAGTCTTTTATCACCAAGCAATGCCTATATTCAGGAAGATAATTAGTACCATCAGAAATGCTCTCAGCCCAAAGCAATGCATTCATCTGTTGCTGTAATTTAACTCTCTGAGGGGCCTTTGTTGACTGAATGAAAAAGTACTATTTTCATCATTTTTGACAGAACAAGCTAGGGATTTTTTTAAGGGAAATTCATACACTAGTTTAAGGCTAAATGCTTGGTTCCTGTGCTAAAACTACATGTCAGTAGCCAGCACTGTGGATTAGTGTACTAAGCCTCCACCTGCATCATGCCAGCAGCCTGTAAAGGCAATGGGTCATGACCCATTTCTGATCCAGCTCTCTGCTTCTGGCCTGGGAAAGCAGCAGCAGATGGCTCAAGTCCTTGGGTTCCTGCACCCAGAAGAAATTTCTGGTTTCTGGCTTTAGACTGGCCCAGCTCTGGCCTTTGTGGCCATTTGGGGAATTAGCCAGTAAGTGATGGTAATCTCTGTCTCTCCTCTATCTGCCTTTCAAATAAAAATAAATAAAAAATAAAATCAAAGTGTGTGGCAACATCACTGATACTTTTTTTTTTTTCAGAAGCCATGGTCCAGTTTGGAACTTTTGAATGTTTGAAATTATGAAAGGTTAGTAATCAAATTTTCAGCAAATAATCACACCAAACACACAATATGTTTATATGACCCCAAATTATGAGCCACATTGGTAAAACACTTGCATTTATCTTGTGACAGCTTCCAAATGTTTAAGTATTTCTTCAGTTTTATTATGTTTGCCTACCTTGTTTTCCAATTTCAAATCATTTGGTTCTGCCAGTTGCCTTTAATAAGTGATTAGCACACACCAGAAAGTCATTTGGTTACGTCACATTAATAAGAACTTTAAGAAAAAAAATCTGGGAGGAAATATGAGAATGAGTCAATTTGCTTAGGATGCTGCCAATGGGAGGGAGCATTTAGTACAGCTGGTAAGATGCCCACATTCCATATGGAAGCATCTGGGTTGGATTCCTGGTTCCAGCTGATGGCTCCACCTTACTGTTAATACTGACCTCGGAAGGCAATGCTGATGGCTGTACAATGAGGTTCTGACCATCATGGATAGCATTCCGGACTTGGTCTCGTTTTCAACCCTAACAATTGTAGGCATTTGGGGAAAGGAGGAGTAACTAAAAACACTTTTTTTTTCTCTCTTTCTCCCTGTTTTTTTCCCTCCCTCTTCTCTTTCTGTCCCTTTCTGCCTCTCAAATATTTTTTAAAAGGATGCAAAAGACAAGTATTTAATGAGCACTTACTGTGTGTCTTTAGCACTGACAAAAACTGAAGGGTATAAGGAATAGCAAAATAAAATTCGCCACTAGGAGAGCAATAATTTAAAAACAATTACCAGTTACATAGAGGTGGGATAACACTTATGCATTTGGTAGCCAGAAACAGAAACTTTTTCTCTACTTATGGAGCAAATATTACAACATCACCGATCCAACATGGTGCACTTCTAAAACATCAATGTAAGAATTCTTTCTGGAATAGTGGGTATGACATCGATAAAGTCAATATATTTTTGCTAAAAAAACGCATCATCAATTGAGTGACAGAGTATGATAACTCACTCAAAAAATTGGATTTCTGCATGAAAAAATATCAAACAAGACCTCTACCTTATCCCTTATGAAAAAACATTTTCAATCCACAATGGATCACAGCCATAAATCTTTGATACAGTAAATGCCAGAGGAAAAAGATTGAAGAAATTATTCCAGAGGTTGCCATAGACAAAGGTTTCTTGAAGAAAAACCCGGAAACACAGGCAATTAGGACAACATTAAACAAAAAGGATTACATTAAACAGGAAAGACTTCTGCCTACAAAGTGAAGGGCAACAAAGTGAAGAGGCAGCTGACACACTGTGAGAAACTAGCTGCAAACTATGCAATTGATAAAGGATCCATTCAGAGTTTAGTAACTCACCCAGGTAAGAAATGGACAAGGGGACGAACCAGCACCTTACCTAGGATGGAATCCACACAGCCAACAGACACAATGAAAAAGTGCTCAGGATAACTAGCTGCCAGGGAAATGCAAATAAAAACGACAAAGAGATTTCGCTTCATCCCAGTCAGAATGGCTATCATCCCCCAATCCAAAAACAATAATTTGTGGGGTGGATGTAGGGGAAAAGTTATGCTAAAACACTGTTGCTGGGAATGTAACTATTAGTGTACAACTACCATGGAAGAGATTAAGAAGATTCCTCAGAAATCTGAAAATATCATGTAACCCACCCATCCCACTCTGAGGAATTTACCTAAAAGGAATGAAGTCGACATATGAGGGAGTCATTTGCACCTGCATATTTATTGTAGTTTAATTCTCACAATAGCTATGATATCAAATCAACATAGATGTCCACCAACTGATGACTCAAATTAGAAAGTGTGGTATATATACACTATGAAATACTACTCAATGATAAGAAGTAATGAAATTTTGCCTTTGGCAACACAATGGATGGAACTATAAAGCATTATATTTAGCAATGCTTTCTCTGAGATGTGGCAATTAATATGCTATACAAAACTGTATAGGAATGAAATGGACATCTTTTGATACGATTGTTATTTTCAGCTCATGTAAAACTGATTTTTCTAATTTTTTACATATTGAATATTATGGTTGGTGATAAAATTAATGTTGTGATTATAGAGTGGACTAAATTATATTTTCTCAAAAATTAAAGAAAATAAGGAAAAGGAAGTAAGGAGGATTTTGGAGGAGGGAAGGGGGCAGGGAAATACAGTTAGTTTCTTAGAACTGTACCTACAAAATACATGATAAGCCTCCTCCCCACAAAAGGAAACAAAAATATCTGCTATCCAACAGTGAACATACACATCAAAATGGAAACACATAATACTTAACAATGAAAACTATAGCTACAATAACAAGAAATAAAGCAATACTCATAACGCCATTTTCATATATATAATGAAAATGTCAAAGGAGATAAAATATATTTAAACAAGCTTAAAATGATTTTCAAATGATTTAATTGCCAAATAATAAACAACCACAAAATGCATATATTTGTAAGAAATTGGTAGCATTTAAGGGCAGTATTTTGTTGTTGTGGGTAAGCTGCCATCTACAACAACAACACCCCAACAGACGTTGGTTCAGGTCCCATTGGCTCCTAACATTCTGAGACATGCAGCAGATGGCCCAAACGCTTGGGCTCCCGTAATTCTGCAGGATTGGACTTCCTGGCTTTGGCCTGGCTCAGCACTGGCCAGTGCAGCCACTGGGTAGTGACCAAGATGATGGAAGCCCTCTGTGCCTTTCTCTGCCTTTTCTACTCATTGTAAATATCTTTAAAATAAATAAATAAAGGTCTGAAAAGTTGATATGCAAAAAAAGGATGTAATTTGCAACTGGTATCAAAAGAGCAAGTTGCTGTATAATAAAGAACTAAATATAGCAACACCATAAAGTGAAAAAGAATATTTAACTTAAAAATTCCTCATTATACATGATTGATTTCATACTGGTTTCGTGAAATAACATTTAGTCCTTGCATAAAATTGGTTGCTACTTTTCCTGAGATCTGACTTGAAACTCCATTGTCCATGAAGCACACAGATTTATTCATTCTCCCTTTCTCTCTCTCTCTCTCACACACACACAGTTCAAATACATGCATACTAGTATGTGTACCTAAGCATATGTGTATATATTCACATATATATGTATATATTAGCATTTAAATACAAATTATATTTCAAATGAGAATAACATTTGCTATACTATTATTGTGATAGCATTCCTGTATAAAGTACAACTAGTGTATGATATAATCAAACATGCAAGATATGGAAAATAATTGTTTTGTAAAATTTATTTATTTTCATTGAAAAGGCAGATTTACAGAGAGAATGTAAGACAAAGAGAAAGATCTTTCATCAACTGGTTCACTGTCCAAATGGCTGTAATGGCTAGAACTGAACCAATACAAAACCAGGAGACAGGAGCTTCTTTAATTCTCACACGCAGGTACAGGATATTAAGGACTTGGGTCATTTTCCACTGCTTTCACAGGCCACACACAGGGAGCTGGATCAGAAATTTGAGCAGCCAGGATACAAACTGGCACCCATATGAAATGATGATGCTTGGAGGGTTAGCCTGTACAGCCATGGCACAATGGTTTACAAGGTTCAACCAAATACAGTATCATGCACAATAATACAAACACAAATAACACAAAATAAGAGATGTATCTCTGTAAATAAGGAGATAAACTGAATAGATAGCACTAAAATATTTTGTATCTGAAATAGAAGAAATACCTACAAAGCTGTATCATGGAAAAAATAACAAGAAGAAAAGGGTCCATGGAAATGTACTCTTCCCCCGAAACACGCTGTGTGTGTGTGAGAACGTGCACGAGAGAAAGTGTGTGTGTGTGTGTGTGTGTGTGTGTGTGTGCACATTTGTCTTAGCTCATCCCCTCTCTTCAGTACAGGTCTCCAGGAGATATGTTCAAGTTCACCTGGGAGCCTTCATGAAGCCATTCTCATTATACTTT